TTTTTCCTCTCGACATGGACGTCCTGTCGTCCACGGCGATAATCCATTGCAAAAAATACCACAAAGAGCACACGCGCGCGTTCATGTCAGAATCCTACCGAACACCGTGTGTTTGCAAGCATTTCAACATAAAAACATCAAAAACCCAATGCTTTTTTTCACAAAAAATTGTACAAATTTCCCGCCCTGGCTCTCTTGCTGAAGTCATAGGAAAACCATAGGAATCTTAAGAATTCGGTCAAATCCAGCGATTTCACGTCATCGCGCGGTGCACTCGCGATGCTCTGTCATGCACCCAGGCCGCGAATCCTGTGCAAAAAATACTACAAAGAGCACACTCGCGCGTTCATGTCAGAATCCTACCGAATACCGTGTTTTTGCAAGCATTTCAACATAAAAACATCAAAAACCCAATGCTTTTTCACAAAAATGCTTTGGGGTGTCCTGTCAGACCGTCGGGCTTCCTCCGGCCACCTCTGGCTTCCTGCGGTGTACCGGGCCATTCTCGACTCGTCTGGCAATGCGTGCGCGGCATTCAACACGCGCTCGCCAGTTCCCGTCGGCAACCGCCATCGCGGCCGCATCAGCTGTACCAAAACGGCTGGCCGGTGTGACTTCGGCCCCCAGTTGTGCCAGCTTTGCTTCTTATGTTGTGGGAGGGCGGGTGGGACTGGGCATGCCATGCTTGACTCGCTCGAGCTGGCTAGCTTGACTACTACTCCTACTCCTACTCCTACTCCTACTCCTACTCCTACTCCTACTCTACTCTACTCCTACTCCTCCTCCTCCTCCTCCTCCTCCTCTCCTCCTCCTCCTCCTCCTCCTCCTCCTCCTCCTCTCCTCCTCCTCCTCCACCTCCTCATCCCCCTCCTTTTCCATTTCCTTTTTCTTTTACTCCTCCTCCTCCGCCTCCTCCTTCTCTCCCTCCCGTCCCCTCCTCCTCGTCTCCCCACGGCCCGACACGCAGGAGAGGTCGGGCGAATGTGGTCTTCTCGCCCGCACAGAACCTGGCCAACTGCTCCAGGTCCCGCGCGGCCTCAGCACGCCTCTCCGCGGCGGCGGCCGCCAGGTGGGCGGCGATTTTCCCGACGAGCTGTTCCCTCTCGCTGCGGGGGCGGGCCCTTCTGCTGCCCCGGCGTCGGCCGGAGGGGGCAAACGCAACGGTGGCCACGGCCAAGACAGCGCGCAGCGTCGGGGCCGATCCTGGCTGGCGTCCACGTCGGTCGCCGCCTCTTCGTGGATCTCCCTTGCGAGTCGGCAGCGGCCAGCATGGAGAGACGAAAAAACGCCCCAACCCTGGGTTACATGCGAACCTCCTGGGAGCTCTCACGAAGGCCAGAGAGCCGCCAGGATGCCGCGCGATACGCAAGGTCTACCCTGTCAGCTCACACGAGGCTCAGCGCACAGCGCACCGTAAACCAAGGTAGGGTCGTTTTTTTCGTTTCCCACACAAGCATGGACCATGACTGGGGAGACGAAATGGTGCCGATACCACTTCTCCCCGGACCTGCCCCGGGGCGCGCTCTGATCAGGATTTCGAAACGGATCCAGCGGCAGGGACAAGGGCCCCCCATGAGGCCCAAAAAAAGGGCACACGGGCGAAGGGCACCGCTGCCCCCGCTGCCTTGGCAGCAGGGGCCATGACCAAAGTCGGCGTCCTCGTCGACATCTTGGCCGTGGCCGGTCGGCGTGCGTTTGCCCTCGGCCAGCGCCCCCCCGAAGGGGGGGGTGGCCCGCGGCAGGCCGAGGCAAGTCTCGGACGACAGCGGCGGGCCGTGGCGCGTTCCCCCTCTCTTGCCACGGAGGCCGCGCCAAGCCCGGGCGAGCACGGCGCCCACCGCCCTCCCTTCGAGCACAAGCTGCGCAAACAGACCGTCGGCCCGTGTCAGAAGGATGCGCGCAAGAATGCCAGGGGCCCCAGAAGGCGGTGTCGACGCTTGTCGAGCGGGGCGCGGTCATCGAGCGTGGCCAAGGATGGGCGGAGGAGGCAAGGATGCAAGGGTGCCATTGAGAGGGTGCCCCATCGTTACTATGCGGATTCACTGCGCGCGGGCTTTTTGGATCGGCGCTGGGGCCTCTCTGGCGTTGGGGAGTCGAGCGCCGATCCGAAAAATCTGCGCGGACCTCCGATATGCATATTATGCATTCGTGATGCTGTCGTTTCTTCGATCTGTCCTGCCACCCTCCTGGTTGCTGACAGAATATCCATCACGGTGTGTTTTTTTTCGTCGGCACTGACCCTCCGAGTCATAATTCGTCGCCACAACGACAGGGGGCCAGGATTGTTGAACTGACATGAGGGATCTCGAATATTGTTGTATTACTGTTTGGTCATAGTTAAATATATGTATATATAGCACAAATACATGTGTTACATATATATAATAACAATATGGATAATAATAATAATACGAATAATATTGATAATAAAAATAATAATGATACTAATAATAATAATGATGATACTAATAATAATACGAATAACAATAATAAGTATTTA